ACAATCCCCGGGAGGTGCAGGGCGTGGGGGATGCCCAGGGCAGGCTGGAGGGTGCCTGGGAGTTCCTGCTCTGAGCAGGAGGAGCAGAGATGGGCTCTCAGCTTCTCACACAGGCTTGCAAGATGAGTTTGTGCCATTTGGTTTTCTCTCAGGGTTTGGCACCAGCTCTCCAGCTGGTTTCGGCTTGCTGTCCGTCGTTCACTGCCAATGTTTTTTGGCAAATCTGGCTAATGCATTGCACCATGAAGCTTTTTTTTTAACATCTTGTGTCATATATTACCCTTCTCCAATTGGGAGGGGTCTGAACTTGGCTATAACCTGAGGGAACTATTCAGCAGCAGCATTAGTAATGCTGCTGGCACATTGAACCAGCCACTACTTGAAAGACAGGTGATTCTTCTCCCATTCCTATTTGAGTATCTAGTCTGCTGTGTATCTCTTTAATCCTGAAGCCTTTGACCATGGAGGTTTTGGAGCACTGGGCCCTGTTCCAGCGAAATTGCTCACATTGTTTACCCTTTCAACGAGTTTGTTTGCTGATTCGAGGCGTGAGAGCTTCCGTGTTCTGCAACGCTTGTGCTGCAGCAAGGAGGAAAAACCCAGAGTATGGAGACAGGTGAAACGGGGGGATCTCAGTCCTGGGAAACTGAGACCTGCTCAAAACATGTTATTTCTCTGCTGGGGAGTGGCTGTAGTGAGCTTTGAAATACGGTTTAGGTGCTGGAATAGATTCAGTGCTTGGGGCATTTGCACAGGTTGTCCTTTTTCATACTAGTTGGTGGCTCTTGGTATCCTGCCATGACCCTCAGCTGTCCAGGCTGCTTTTCCTGAGCCACATCTAAGGATGGTGGTTGGCAGGCAGGGCCAGGAGAGGCCTCTGTGCTGGAACCTGTGCGCAGGCTCAGGTACGTCACTAACCTGGCGCTGGCAGCGTGTTATCCTGCCAGGGTGGCTGGGATGGGCTGGCCTCTGGCTACTGCCAGGTGCCTGCAGCCTGCATATGGACTCGGAGCTGCATGTGGAGCAGAAACTCGTCAGACAGCAGTGTTGTGCTCGTGGCTGCACTGTGAGGGTGGTAAGACACTGGAACAGGTTGCCCTGGCGATGCCCCAACCTTGACAGCGTTCAAAGCCAGGCTGGATGAAGCCTTGAGCAACCTGGTCTAGTGGGAGGTGTCCCATAGCAGAGGGGATTGAGACTAGATGATTTTCAAGGTCCAATCCAACCACTCCATGATTCTATGATGCCTGCTAAAAGCCCTACAGATGTAGTCAGAGTGGTGGCAGCTGGTCTGGCCCAGAAAACATGCATCAGCCAAAAACTGGCTTCCTGCCCAGGCAGTGGTGACCAGCCTTTATCAGAGGTCCCTAGGCTAACAAAAGTTTCTGAGCTTGGAGGGAGTCACCACGGTGCTGGGGAAAGGGAGTTGTGCTTCTGCCTGTTTTATAGACATGGTCAGAAATTGAGAGCAAAGCTCCAGCTCCCTCTTTGTCATGCTGAGCAGTTTGCTTAATCTGTAAACCTCTGTCATTCTGCCTGTAATTCTTCTCTCCCAGTACTTGCTGAGCTTGGCAGATCAAGAGCACTGCTCAGGCTGTAGTGTTGATCCATCTTGGTGTGCTTAGGGGAGAGAAGTAGATGCAAGGAAAGAAATAGTGAAAGCTTCTGACTGCAACAGGTAAAAATGCAGATAAGGCATTCTCTAGTCTTTTCTCTAATGCTGTTGTGCTGCTTGAAGGCTTCAGTCTTCACTCAGAAGACTTTATCAGATGAGTTCAGACAGGGTTGAAGTGAACTCAGGAAATTATATCAGAAGACACCTGCATTAGGGCTGCACACACAGCTTCCCTTCCGTGGGAAACACTTTCATGTTTTCCCTGGCTGTTCTCTAGTGTTACGATTGCCATAGCAGTGAAAGTTGTTCTGCTGTTGAAGTTTAATCTTTGTAATGTTACAGAGGCAGGAGCATTAAAGAACTACCTTTTTCCTAGGAAGATAACAGTGTGCCAGTCTGCCTTGGAAAAATGTGATTGAGAGGACACTCGTGCTCCTCTGCTCTGTAGAAGAAAATGGAAATAAGACTTTGGATTGTTGAGGATCTCTTCTTAGAGGCACAGTGTCATTAATTCATACCCCAGTTACTTCAGGTCACTTGATATCTCCTGACCCAGGAGTGATAGCTGCCTGCTCCTGAGGAATTAGCAAGGACACACACACAGAAAACAGCAAACCAGGCCTGAATCAGCTACAGCTGCAGTGTTTCTGTACAGCTTCCGAAGGCTGGATGGGTACTGCCACATCTGGTTATCTGTAAAGATGCTAAAGCTCTCTAAGACCCTGTGGTACTTAAGCAGAACAACTGTTTTATAGTGGTTTACTTGTTCAGAGCGAAGTACCTGCTTAACATCACAAAGTTTCCTGTTCTCAGGCCTCAGCATGATGTAATTCTGTATCTCCTCTCTTGCTGAGCAGTCAGCCCTTGGGACATCTCTGATTCACCTCTCACACCTGCCTTTTAGACAGCTTTCTTTGTGCTTCAGACAAGACTCGAGTTAATTAGGTTCTTGCACAAG